AATTTCCCTGGAGCTCAGGCTTCACTCTTCCTGCAGTATCAGAATGAACATGTTTAGTGGTGGTGATTGCATTGCTTGAGGCCTGTGGCCACTGCCAGGCCTGAGTCCATTCTGCGTTAGAAGTACTGTTCTTTCCATGTGATGCCTGTGTCTGTGGTGGAGCCCAGAGGAGGAGGGGGTGGCAGTGTTTCTGTGGCACTTTGCCAGCGGCAAGAAGGCTAGGCTTGCCCTGAGAATTTCTGTTTGTAGGCTCTGAACCAAGTCCAGGGAGCTACTTGCCATGGAAATCCTGGAGGTGGTTTGGCTAGAGGAGACAGGTATGCTTGCAGACAGCTATTTTTCTGATCCTGCCATCTGACCTGATAAAACACCTGTGATGGATTCATTTCTCCAATTCCCATGATCTGGCTCTTTCTTTTGATAAAAGTTTCCTCCTTGCCATGTCCATGGACTCAAATCTGGGAATTACTTTTGAAGTACGGGACAATGTTGAAAGACTTTTGCATTTTGTACTTATTTAGACCATGTCTGCCTTGTTTATAGAGTGGGGCATCTTCTGGTTTGGCGCAGAGGCTCACATCTATAATGCCAGCACTTTGGGAGGCTGAGGTGGGTGGACCACTTGAGGTCAGGAGTTAGACCAGCCAGGCCAACATGGTGAAACCCGGTCTCTACTAAAAATATGCAAATTAGCTGGGCTGGTGGCAGGCGCCTGTGATCCCAGCTACTCAGGAGACTGAGCTAGGAGAATTGCTTGAACCCAGGAGGCAGAGGCTGCAGTGAGCCAGGATCAAGCCACCACACTCCAGCCTGGGTGACACAGCAAGACTGTCTGAACAGCAACAGCAGCAACAGAGTAGGGCATCTTCCTACTATAAGTAAATGTTCATCGCTACTCTCTATAAAGGCTAGAAACCTAGAAGAGGTTAATAAGAAGAGGATAAAAAGAAATGGGATATATTTTCTGGTCTTCTTGAAGGTAATCCCATGATATATGTGCCAGATACTGAAACCAAACCAGATATCAGTATCATGCAGAATGGAATAGAATAAAGAGCTCTACATAGGAGACGAGCAGTGTGACTTTTTCAAGATGTTTAGTCCACATTGGCCTTGATTGGCTCATCTGTAAAATAAGGCTAAATAATGACTAACCTAAGTAAAGGCAAGAGGTTCAACCTGATAAATACCTGGAGTGACTGACAATCCAACCATCCATTCACTTATTCACTATTGCTTTATATACTCATTGATTTGTACATTCTTTCAGTCAACAAGTATTTGTTGAGGGCATGTTACATTTTCTATGAAAAGAGGGAAACTGCAAAATATTTGGAGAGATTTATTCCGAGCCAGCTATGAGTGACCGGGGCCTGAGACACAGTTTCAAGAGGTTCTGAGAACATGCGTCCAAGGTGGTTGGGCACAGCTTGTTTGTGTGTGTCTGTGTGTGTGTGTGTGTGTGTGTGTGTGTGTTTGAGACAGAGTCTCACTCTGTCGCCCAACCTGGAGTGCAGTGATGTGATCTCAGCTTATTGCAACCTCCATCTCCCAGGTTCAAGCAGTTCTCCTGCCTCAGCCTCCCAAGTAGCTGGGATTTCAGGCACGTGCTACCATGCGCGGCTAATTGTTTTGTATTTTTATTAGAGACGTGGTTTCACCATGTTGGCCAGGCTGGTTTCAGACTCCTGACCTCAAGTGATTTGCCCGCCTCTGCCTCCCAAAGTGCTGGGATTACAGGCATGAGCAACCATGCCTGACCACAGCTTGGTTTTATACATTTTAGGGAGACATAAGACATCAATCAATACATGTGAGGCACATATTGGTTTGGTCTGGAAAAGTGGGACAATTTGAAGCAGGGTGGGACTTACAGGTCATAGGTGGATTCAAAGATTTTCTGATTGGCACAAAAAATACAAAAATTAGCTGGCCATGGTGTCACACGCCTGTAGTCCCAGCTACTCAGGAACTGAGGTGGGAGGATTCCTTGAGCACGGGAAGTCAAGGTTGCAATGAGCCAAGATGGGGCCACTGCTCTTGAGCAACACAGTGAGACTGTCTCAAAAAAGAAAAAGAAAGAAAGAAAGAAAACATTCAGTTCCAGTAATCTGGGAAAGCATTCAGAAAGAGATGACCAAGAAAATAAAATAAAATATGGTCTATAGATGCTCACAGGTAGGGAATCAGAGAGCAACAGGAGGCAGCGGGTGGTTTGGAACTAAAGGTCTGTGTAGCAGTGAATTTTGTCAGCATAAGCTGCCATCCAGCTGTCTTCCTAGGGGCCGTCAAACTCAGTTTAGCAAGTTCCCACACGTCCCACCCTGTTGGCCTCTGCAGTCTGCTTTTCCTTGGGTTGAAACTGTCAGTCTCTGGGGAAAGACTGTTGGCAGATGAGTCAGAGACTGAAGTTAGACCTAGGTGGTCTCCCAAGGGCAGGAATTCGACAAGACTGAAGTTTGACAATGAAGCTGATGCGAATGCAGACAGGTGGTACCCCAGTGCCCTTTGTGTTGCCTTCCTTGCTTCTAACTTGGTGTAACTTGTTCGAAATCCCACCTACTTCTTCACGAGGACCAACTTTTCACACTCTGAAATGGATTTCTCTTTGTGGTCTGTTAGGCCACTATGTGGTTTCCTCGACGGGATTCCTTTTTGTGGTTGGAGGTCAAACTCTTTCTTGCCTGCTGCTTCCAGGAATGTGTGGTGTGTGTCTCAGCGTGCTACACAAGAGGGTTTTATTTCACCTCCCTTGAATGGAATGGCAGTCATCCAGCAGGTCTGGGTGCATGTATAAATAGAGAGATGTGTAAGCCTGCATTTAATATCTAGAACATAAACCAGCCACCACTGCGTGCTACACTGTCATGATTTGATTAAAGGCTGCTGACAGCCTCGCAGACCATGCTGTGGGGCCCAGCAAACCACCTAATCCCACTGCTTGATCCCAGGCATAGATGGGGCAGATTTCATTGCCAGGAGCAATTTCTTTCCAGCCACCAGCAACTCTGAGTTTCTGCTGCTTTTCCTGCTTCAGCTGTTCATTGTTGATGACTCCAGGTCAGACAGGCCAGAGTGAACATGGAAGACTGAAGTGGACAGCTAATCCCTAAGTTGTAGTCTTCTTTTTCTTTTATTATTTTTTTCTTTTAAGCCAGAAGATTTAGGTTCACTCCCCTGTGAATACTTTTGATTACAGAACTGATGTCAGAAGGGCCAGTTGGTCTTTTTTTTTCTTCTTTTTTTTTTTTTTTTGTTCTTGGCCATGAACCAAGAAGGGCCATTAAAAGTTCAGCGTTTCAGCCAGGTGCGGTGGCTCATGTCTGTAATACCAGCACTTTGGGAGGCCAAGGCAGGCGGATTGCTCAAGCCCAGGACGTTGAGAACAGCCTGTGCAACATGGCAACAACCCACCTCTACAAAAAATACAAAAATTAGCTGGGCATGGTGGCATGCACCTGCAGTCCCAGCAATGCTGGAAGCTGAGGCAGTAAGATCACTTGAGCCTGGGAAGTTGAAGCTGCAGTGAGCTGTGATCGGACCACTGCACTCCAGCCAGGGCAACAGAGCAAGAGCCTGTCTTGATTAAAAATAAACAAACAAAAACCAACCAGTTGTTTAGCATTTCTATATCTTTGCCCAACTTCCTACGATGTGCAATGTGAGAGCATCACTTCCTAGTCTATACAAGATAAAGTATGAATTCCTGCTTCTGCCATTCAGATTTGTCACAATATAGTCCCAAAATACCTTTCTTTCTTTCTTTCTTCTTTTTTTTTTTTATTTGGAGACAGGGTCTCACTCTGTTGCTCAGGCTGGAGTGCAGTGGTGTGATCACAGCTCTCTGTAGCCTCCACCGCCCCAGGTGCAGGTGATTCTCCCACCCCAGCCTTCCAAGTAGCTGGGACTACAAGTGCACGCCATCACACCCAGCTAATTTTGTCTTTTTTTGTAGAGATGTGTTTCGCCATGTTGCTCAGGCTGGTCTCAAACTCCTAGGCTCAAGACATCCACCCACCTTGGCTTCCCAAAGTGTTGGGATTACAGATAAGAGCCACCATGCCTGGCCTCCAAACTGTCTTACTGATCTTATAACCACTGCACCACCACCTTTACTTCTATGTAAAAATGGATTGGTCCACCTTCCATTTTTCAATGCCACTTGTCCATTTGTCATTATTACAGTATCTCTTCCCCTAGATTGGCTCCTATTCTCTCTGCCTATTGAAAGCCTTTCTATTTTTTTTTTTTTTTTTTGAGATGGAGTCTCACTCTGTCACCCAGGTTGGAGTGCAGTGACGTGATGATTTCAGCTCACTGCGGCCTCCGCTTCCCAGGTTCAAGCGATTCCCCGGCTTCAACCTTCTGAGTAGCTGGGACTACAGGCGTGTGCCAGCATGCCTGGCTAATTTTTTTGTATTTTAATAGAGACAGGGTTTCACCATGTTGGCCAGGATGGTCTCGATCTCCTGACCTCGTGATATGCCCAAAGTGTTGGGATTATAGGCATAAGCCACTGCACCCACCTTTCTATCTATTAAGGCTGAATTTAATTCTAGGGCTTCCATAACTGCTCTCATCCACAGGTGTCTTTCTATAGCATGCATGTTTCTACTATTTAGTCAACAAGTAATTGTATCACAATCCATACTTTATTGTTGTATATACTGACTACAACTGAAAGATTTTAGTTTGGATTTCTTGATTCTAGTCTCCCCTAGATTGGAAACCCTATGAAGTCAGGGGTCATGCATGTGCTATGTTCTTGGTAACTCCTACAGTGTCAAGTGTTATGTTCTATACATAAGAGGGATTGGAAAGTGCTTGCTGATTGAATTAATAATCTTGAAAAAGCAAGTTGTCAGTATTTATTAGTGAATCAAGTGATCTTTCAAGGATATTGTCTGGCTAAGGACTGGAAGTTGGAATATGAAGTAGTAATTAAAGTTATTCTCAGGTCCAGAAGGGAACCCAGAGACTATTACTCTCCTGACACCCACTGGAGCCATCCAGAATGTCAGTTTAACCGAGCTTACAGGTTGGGTTACTTCCAAAACTTTAGGTTCCTTGGGAGTATATGCTATGGATTCAAAAGATCTGATTTTTACAATTATCATCCCTCAATAAGTAGTTGATGATTTGTATTAAGCAAGGAACAACTGTGTCTAACTTTCTGCTAGATATTGTGGAGAATGTCTGGGAGATACACACACACACACACATATATATATATATATATATATATATATATATATATATATATATTTAAAAAATATATGCAGGATCTCATTCTGTCACCCAGGCTGGAGTGCAGTGGTGTGATCTCAGCTCACTTCAGTCTTGACCTCTCATGCTCAAGAGATCCTCCCACCTAAGCTTCCCAAGTAGCTGGGACTACAGGCATTTGACACCATGCCCAGCTAATTTTTTGTATTTTTTTTTGTAGAAACCGGGTTTTGCCGTGTTGCCCAAGCTGGTCTTGAACTCCTGGGCTCAAGCAATCTACCCTCCTTAGCTGCCCAAGTGTTGGGATTACAGGTGTAAGCCACCATGCCTGGGATATTTGTATAAGATGTAAATGCTTTTTATATGAAATTTTGGTTTTGAACAATGCCTTTGACATTCTCTAAGTACCTGAAGCATATAGTCAGTGGCTGCAAACCTTTTTTAAAAACACAATGAATTTGACTTTTGTAAACATCTAAATATCATTTTAGCTATATCTGATTAATGAAATGGAGACTCAGATACAATAATATCATTTTAGCAAAAGCAAGAAACAGACTGGGCATGGTGGCTCATGCCTGCAATCCCAGCACTTTGGGAGGCTGGGGTAGGCAGATCACTTGAGGTCAGGAGCTCAAGACCAGCCTGATCAACATGGTGAAACCCCATTTCTACTAAAAATGCAGGACTAGCCAGGTGTGGTGGTGTGCACCTGTAATCCCAGCTACTCTGGAGGTTGAGGCAGGAGAATCACTTGAACCTGGGAGGCAAGAGTTTGCAGTGAGCTGAGATGGTGCCATTGCACTCCAGCCTGGGTGACACAGTGAGACTCTGTCTTGAAAAAAAAAAAGCAAGAAACACACACACACACACACACACACACACACACACACATGATTTTTGCATGTGGCTTATAAAAGGGCTTTGACGGTAATTTCAAAAGAGAACTTTCAGAAATGTATTGAATTTTAGAAGCATTGCTATAATAATGTGGCTTTCACTGACTGTTGTGAGTCCTTAAGAACTTGTTACATACTTATGTATCTTATGTAAACCTAAAAGCAACCCTGTAAAGAGTTGTTGATTTTTTTATTTTTTATTTTTTTGACAGAGTCTTGCTCTGTTGCCAGGCTGGAGTGCAGCAGCATGGACCTGAACTCACTGCAACCTCTGCATCCCAGGTTCAAGGGATTCTCCTGCTTCAATGTCCCGAGTAGCTGGGATTACAAGTGCACACCACCACGCCCAACTAATTTTTTTTTGTATTTTTAGTAGAGATGGGGTTTCACCATGTTGGCCAGGATGGTCTCGATCTCTTGACTTTGTGATCTGCCCACCTCAGCCTCCCAAAGTGCTGGGATTACATGCGTGATCACGGCTCCTGGAGTGAAGAGGTTTTTAAATGAGCTGCATTTTAGAGGTCTGGAAGCTAATGGTTAGGATGTGTTAACCAAGATGTGAACTCAGATTTCTCACACTCCAAGGTCCGTGCACCACTGTGATGCCCACTTGAAGGACAAATACTGACCGGATGTGTTCAACTTAGCATCGTTAAGGCCACTTAGGGTTGTTTATTGTACAACCCCAGGAGGCGTCACTCATCTCCTGCTAATAGCATATTTGGATAGCTTTAATGACAAATTTCTAGCAGATGACAGTAAAGTGTCTTGAGGAAGGGGAGGTCTTTCATTCACAGTTACTCAAAAGTTCAAAGTTGGTTTCAGAGCACCGTGGTCACACGTAGAAGGCAGGGCCCTGAAACTGGAAGGATTCAAAACCTTGAGAAGCTTTTATTTTATTCATTTATTTTTTTGAGATGGAGTTTCGCTCTTGTTGCCTGGGCTGGAGTGCAGTGGTACGATCTTGGCTTACTGCAACCCCCCTCTCCTGGGTTGAAGTGATTCTCCTGCCTCAGTCTCCCAAGTAGCTGAGACCATTGGTGTGCCACCATGCTTAGCCAATTTTTGTATTTTTAGTGAACACGGGGTTTCATTATGTTTGCCAGGCTGGTCACGAAATCCTGACTGCAGGTGATCCTCTTACCCTGGCTTCCCAAAGTGGTGGGATTACAGGCGTGAGCCATTGCACCCAGCCTTGAGAAGCCTTTAGATTAGTCATGTTGGAACTGACAAATGAGAGTTCTTTTTTTCTGTTTTTCAAAGACAGGGCCTCACACTGTCACCCAGGTTGGAGCGCAATGGCATGATCATGGCTCACTACAGCCTCAACCTCCTGGGGCTCAGGCAATCCTCCTACTTCAGCCTCTGGAGTAGGAACCACAGGTGCTTACCATCACAACTGGCTAGGTTTAAATTTTTTTTTTTTAAAATTTTGTAGAGATGGGAGCTCCCTATGTTGCTCAGACCAGAGACTTTGTATTACTTAGGATCTGACATAATATCTCATTTGCCTTTTTTCTGACTTTGGAGTGAACTATATTTTCTCCTAATTTTAGGTGTTAATTTAGTTTCATGGAACAAGCAATGTATAGTATTAAGAATCGATTGTGTGGGAGATGCTATGGTCGGCCCCAGGGGAATGAGGATGGGAAATGAGGAGTGAAAGATTCAGCATAGGGGGCTGGGCATGGAGTGACATGGTGGGTGCTGGAATTCAAGAGAGGATGCAAACATGAGTAAGATGTGGGCTTGGCCGGGCGCGGTGGCTCAAGCCTGTAATCCCAGCACTTTGGGAGGCCAAGGCGGGTGGATCACGAGGTCAAGAGATCGAGACCATTCTGGTCAACATGGTGAAACTCTGTCTCTACTAAAAATACAAAAAATTAGCTGGGCATGGTGGCACGCACCTGTAATCCCAGCTACTCAGGAGGCTGAGGCAGGAGAATTGCTTGAACCCAGGAGGAAGAGGTTGCGGTGAGCTGAGATCAAGCCATTGCACTTCAGCCTGGGTAACAAGAGCGAAACTCCATCTCAAAAAAAAAAAAAAAAAGATGTGGGCTTGACTTCCATGTATAAACTGGAGGAGACCCAACTACAACGGCTGTCCGTAAGTGTTGTAACAGTGGAGGAGGGAGACATAAAATTTTCTGGGTACACAGGAGAGAGAGGAATAAATTCTGCCTGGGAGAGCTGGAGAAGGCTTCATGCAGAAGGTGACATTGAGCTAACTCTTGAAGGATGGGTAGGACCCAAACAAACAGAGAAGAAAGGAACAGTAGCAGGAAAGCCATGAAGTGACAGTGGCTATGGGCCAACGTGAGAGTGAGCTACATGTGTTGGGGTAGGTAGGAACTGTGGCAGGAAATGCAAAGTACCTTCAATGTCCTCTTAAAGACTGTAGATTTTCTCTAGGTAATGGAGTCACTGAAGGTTTCTTAGCAGAGGAGTGGCGTCTTTTGACCTTTGAGTTTCCAGGGGTGGCCCCTTTGGCGTGTGCACTTATTTGGCAGAGTTGGGTATACCAGGTTGTGTGAGACTGTACTTTTTATTTTTCCTTTCCAGGAGAGCCCTCTCAAGAAAAAGAACCTTGTTGTGCTTTGATCCCCTTTTGTCTGGCCTTAGTTTGACCTCTGTTCGCCATTTCCCCTCTCTTTCCTTTGATGTTCTTGGCAAGGGAAGAGTTATACCATTGACATCTTCCTATTGACATCTGTGTCAGGTATTTGATTCCTGATGGCACATGATGACTGTTTTTGGTGAATCAGTGGGCCAGGGAATAAGTTGCTGTCACTGTCCATGGGTTGGAAACCCAGGAAAGTTTAGGAATAAAAGTTGGAAAAAGCAGCACACAGAAGTGGGACATGCATCAGAGCGGAGGGCAGCATGCCATGGTCGGAGGAGATCTCAAAATCGAAGGTGCTTCTCTTGGGATTCACACCACAGGCCTTGGCAGGCAGCCCACTCTTATCGTCATTAATTTCCTGAGTTCAGGATTGGGCACCACACCCTGGTGTTAAGCTGTTAACCTCCAGCATCAAGGCCACAGCCGCTGGGGAAAATTCCTTTCTCAAGTTGTGGGCTCGTCAGAGTTGTCCTCTGAACATGCCACAAAGGGTGAATGAATGTTCCACCCAGTCCTACGATTCTGGAATTCTATGTATACTTATGTACCTCTCATGCCTTTCCTCCAGGACACGCACACACAGCGCAAAGTTTTCCTGCAGTGGGCCATGATGCCGCTATTGCAGAGTGTGTGTGTGTGTATGTGTATGTATATTTGTAAAAACAGAAGTGCATATGTGTGTGCGTGTGTGTGCACATGTGTATAAGGTCATGTATGTGCTTGTACACACAAAAATGTGTAGGCTTTAAATGCATAGGACATAGCCTTCCTTTCAGACCTTTTTTTCTTCTACTGCCTGAAAGTAGAAAACCTGAAATAATGGGGAGAGTTTGAGGAAATCAAGGATGTTTCTAGAGCCTGGCTTTTCACAGCAAAAGTCTGCTCTAGGTTTCGAGACTGGCTATAGTTCTCAGACCCAGGAGTTCTTTAGACCTCATCCAGTTTTCCTTGCTATGTGCTATGAAGTTACAGCCATGCCATCAGCAGAGGGCTCCCTCAACCTTAGAAGCTGGTGAGAATGCCTGAAGGCCACACAATGTAAATGGGAGAAAAATGCAGATCTGACTGTGAATTTAAAAATCCAATGCCCCAAAGTACTTTTGTACGGAAGAAACCCTAACCCATCCTGAAAACAGACCACTTCAGCAAGAAGGTATTTGTAGTGTTTACATTAAATGACGCTGTTTAAATTCCTGGATCAAGGTCAGCATAATGTTTATGTTCAGAGTAACACATAGCTAAGTTATTCTTCAAAGAACCCAAGAAGGAGAGCACCTCCCTGACCAGTGGCTTAATTGTTTCTGGACGCGTCACTTGTGTTCCTAAACTCAGGGGTTCCTAACTATCCAGTCACAGAATCATCAGTCACCTTCAGTCCCAGGTCTGGGCCCAAGCTTTGCAGATGCCAGATCTCGATTTGGCATTTACCCAGATTGATGCCAGCTAAACGTTGAGTGCCTGGCTGATAAAGCACCATGTCCATGTGATGAATGCCACTGTCTGCTCAGATGATTGCAGCTGGCCAGCTGCTCTGCATTAACATTGAGAAGGCCACGTGGTGGATACGCAGGCAGGGGAAGGAAGCTGGACACTGCCGAATCAATATTTATCTAAAATTGGTTGCCATCTCTCTTTTTATAATTTTGGAGATGGGGTATTACTCTTTTGCTCTGACTGGAGTGCAGTGGAACAATCTTGGCCCACTGTGGCCTCCACCTCCTGTGCTCAAGCAATCCTCTTGCCTCAGCCTCTAGAGTAGCTGGGCCTACAGGTGCATGCCACCACATTTAGCTAGCTAAGTTTTTAAATTTTTGTAGAGGTGGGGTTTTGCCATGTTGCCCAGGCTGGTCTCAAATTCTTGGGCTCAAGCCATCCTCCCACCTCTGCCTCTCAGAATGCTGGGATTACAGTCACAAGCCACTGCACCAGAGAAAAAGTTAGTTTCTCTTGGGAGTATTCTGATTTTCCACTCTGAAGACAAAGTGAGCTAGGATCCAAGAGCAGGTATTAGTCAGAAGCCGAGTGTTCTCTTCCTCAAAATGCGCTGGATAACCACTGTCCCGGTTTTAGAATTGAGCTCCTTTCTTTCTGAGCTCTTGGCGGCCAACCACGCTCCATTATTTGAACATCATCTGAGACGTGTTACAATGAATGATGCCATCACTTGCTTGGCCTCAGGTATGTGTCCCTGAGGAAACTGCAGGAGCACACTCCAAATTCCTTGCCTACATTTGGGAGATATCTGCGGCTTTTATTCGGGGGTGGTAAGACCTACCTAGGCAGTGGGTGAGGCTTTCTGACGTTTTCAAATTCTGGGGAAAAGGAGACACCACACTGTGACCAAAATCTGACTCCCACCTGTCTGCTATCAAAATGTATCAAACACAGCAACAAAGCTAAAGAACCACCCATGGACTAGGGCATAGAAGGGCGGGGGACTGAGGGAAAGCGCAGTTCACAAGGTCAGGGTCCGTCATCACGAGCTGGACAGGTTTCCAAGAAGCAGCACGAGTCTTCTTTGTGATAGAAAGACAAATGCACATAAGTAGTTTTGGGGAAGCTACTCCAGCCCACTGCAGTGGGAAACTTAGTGATTTCTGTTTGTCCTGGCTCCCTCCGTTCAGATGTTCCTCATCAGCTGCGTTCAGATTGATTCCATTTGCAAAGCTCTCCTGGCAGTCTCAGTGGAGCAGGCTTGGTGGCAAAATCTCTGGCATTTTCTGATCCTGTCCAGGCTCTGCTCTTCTTGTGGAGTTTCTTGGCGTTTTGGCTCCCAAGCAGAAACTGGCTAAACAGAGGCTGCTGCTGAACAAAGCCAAATGTAAAACAGAACATTGGAACGCCGAGCGGAGAGGTTTTGCTAACCTTGGGGGCTGGGAGTGGGCAGAAGACAGTGAGGAATCAGGAAAGGGAGGGACCTCCTTAGAATCGAGCTGAATTGCGCCCTGGTGAAGGTCTGTCACCGCCCCACCGTGTCTGCATCCTTACTCATTGTGCAAGAACAAAGGTTGCATCCTTTTGCTCTCCGATCTCACTAATGAACACAATATTTGGGTCGCACCCAGGAGCACCCTCTCATTTCCTGACCCTCACGAAAGAGTGTGATCCTTGAGACCCCAACACCTTCTCATCACTCGTCAGCCCCACCTCGCAGCCTCTCCTCAGCTTCCTTCCCAGTATCTCCCTCCCCAGCTGCAGCGTTCCACGTGTGCCTTCTCTTTCCCTCGTCCACTTGATGCTAACGTTTCCTGTACTGTTCTGGAGGGCCTTCATCCTCCCTCTCCTCACACTGCCACAGCAGGGCAAGGATGTCCGGTTGGAGAAACTGCCAGTTCCTCTCTTCCACAGTCAGGAGTGGGAGAAGGATGCTGCTGTCACGGCCCTTGGTTCTCTTTTGCAGGGACTGACAGCACGCGTTGTGTTACTCTGGTCCTTCATCTTGCTGTCTGGATTTAATTTCCCCATGAGCAGGTTACACAGTCTGACCTTCCAGTGGATACCTGAGTATTAGGGAGCAGGGAGCTCACTGGCTTTAAGTCCATGATGTTTATCGAGTCCAATAATAAAGTGGATTCATGCACACATGCACAGGCATGTGCATGCATGCAATAATGCAGTCTTATGGTCACACAGTTCAAAATGTAAAAGGTGCAGCCAGACACGGTGGCTCACTCCTGTAATCCCAGCATTTTGGGAGGCCGAGATGGGCGGATCATCTCAGGTCAGGAGTTCAAGACTAGCATGCCTAACATAGTGAAACGCCGTCTCTGCTAAACAAAATTAGCCAGGTGTAGTGGTGGGAGCCTGTAATCCCAGCTACTAGGGAGGCTGAGGCGGGGGAATTGCTTGAACCTGGGAGGCAGAGGTTGCAGTGAGCCAGGATTGCACCATTGCACTCCAGCTTGGGTGGCAAGAACAAAACTGTCTCAAAAAAAAAAAAAAAAAAAAAAAATTCAAAAGTTGCAAAAAGGCAGAGAGTGAACTGTCTCCCCTTTGTTTTTCCCTCGCTCTTTAGTTCTCAGCAGAAGCACCTGTGTTTAAGCGTCTCCTCTTCTGGGCATGTTTTATATACATTTAGACAAATATGTACTTACACTCACATATTTCTTCCACAGTCAGTAGGAGACCATAGCTATTTTTCAACACCTTGCTGTTTTTCACTTTTTAAAATGGCTGCATAATATCTCTCTCTCTCTCTTTTTTTTTTTTTTTTTTTTTTTTTTGAGATGGAGTTTCACTCTTGTTGCCCAGGCTGGAGTGCAGTGGCATGATCTTGGCTCACTGCAACCTCTGCCTCTGGGTTCAAGTGATTCTCCTGCCTAGCCTCCCGAGTACTGGGATTACAGGTGCACACCACCACACCCAGCTATTTTTTCGTATTTTTAGTAGAGAGGGGGTTTTACCATGCTGGCCAAGCTGGTGTCGAACTCCTGACCTCAGATGATCCATTCTCCTTGGCCTCCCAAAACTCTGGGGTTACAGGAGTGAGCCACTGCGCCCGGCCATGACTGCATAGTATTTTGTTGAGTGAATTTCCATAATTTATCTAAGTGGTCCCGTACAGATGGGCATCAGGTCGTTTCCAGTCTTTTGCTATTATAAAAAATAAAGCTGATATTTTGATCCTCACATCTTGTGTTTATTTCCCAAAGGCTCAGGGCTCAGAGGAGAGAGAAGTGTGGTCTACACTTCACATTTCTGCCAAGCCTGGCACTGGACCCAAAGTTCCACACCACTGAGCCAAACACATCCAGGTCTGCTTTTTCATTCCCTTAATTCCCTCCAACTTACCAGCATGCACAGAATTTATGCTACCAATTTTGGTGTTCACTGAGTTAGGTAATTTTATGCTTTTCTTTCTCTTTCTCTGCCTAGACCCCTTCCAACCCGGGGTTCTCGTGGTAAGCAAAATACTGTTCCAGCAAGTGATGCCCCAAACTCCTAAGGACATAAGGTATTGAATTTCCTACATGCATGTAGTGTGTTGTAATTTGCAAACCACTGTCACATAGTATTCTTTGATTTGATTTTTGCACACATTTTTTGAGATTGGTAGGACATTTTCTAGATGAAGAAACTGAGGCTCAGAGGAACTAACTGCATGGCTTACCCAAGGTCACCTAACTGGTGAATGGCAAAGACAAAACTCAAAACCAGGCCGTTAATTCTCTGCCCTGCCGCTTTTCTAATACGTGCTGACCCTTTAGCATACATGTGATGTCAAAGTCAGCTCTCAGTCGGTGGGAGGCTGAAGTTCTAGTAAATTCTCCTCCAGATTTTATTTTCATCACCAGATAGAGTGAGGCTATCAGGGAATTATGGACCAATTTATCCGCAGTGAGCCAGAGGAACAGTGCACAGCAGAATCAGGGCAATGCCAGTTGTCTAGGGAGCAGGAGAAAGGGTGTTGGGGAGGAGGTCCAGGACTGGAAGCCTCTGACCCAAAGCACATGCTTGATGTGGAAGTCAAGGGATAGGCTTGCAAGCCGGGCAAAAGGAAGAGAGGAAAGGAATGCACATTTACGGAGAGTTCACTATGGGCCACACTGACCCATTAATCACTCCTAGAACTTGAAAGGGACACTCAGAGATATTCTGAGGCTAAGCCA